TATTAACAAACTGAGGAGAAAGTCCAGACCCAATTGTGCACTGATCACAGGTTGTGTCTGGAAACAGCTCTACTGTCTCTGGTGAGTTTGTTTTGTCAGATACCTCCGTCATCGGCCACCCAGTAGACGTCGATGGTCTTGTTCCCCTGGTCGCTCTGAAACACCGTCTTCATCTGGTCTCCGTCACCTTTAGGGGAGATGTCTTCGACTGAAACAGTGAAGTAGGACAATCAGCTGAGCAGACCCGCTGTGAGCAGAAGCTCCATTCCATTCCCAACGTTTTCATTTTCACAGCGTCGCAGGTTCTCACCTGATTCTCTACCAGGAGACTGTTGGTCTTTACTTTCCACACTTTCATCAGGTTCAAATCCCTGGTTCACTGGAGGACAGACAATACAACTGACTTTTTATGAAATATTAAACAAACGCATCTTGTTGTAGGAACAAGTACAGAAGAAATGCAAAGACAGTCTGGATCTCTAACCTCCAACATCAAACTGGTCAAAGATATCCAGCCCGTCCATCATCCTCAAGATGCACAAACAGTAGTTGGAGTCGAATGTGTCACTTGAGAAAAGAAAAGAAAGAAGAAGTTTTAATACGAGGTTCAAAAGAAATACTCATTTTTTATTCCTCACACTTTTTGAGAACAGTTTCTCTTTCTTACGTTATGGTGTTGACATAATCTTCGGTTCTCTCAGGAGAACTGTCCCTCCAGTTAGTTTGGAAGCCCAGGACCAGAGTGTTGGGCTTCAGCTTTCCAAGACCAGACGCCTGAGAGCAAAAGTTTTTGGTAAAAATAAGTAAAAATACACTTTGTGTTGTGTAAGAAACAAACGAAGATACATGTGAACACGTGCGTAAAAAATTAAAATCATAATTTATTCTCAAACAGAATTCCCAGAAGAGTTTTGTAAATAACAAATAAAAGTTGTACCTGCAGCAAGTGTCGAGCTCCAGCTCTGAGGCAGTCTGCACTGAAAGGTGTGTAAAACGAGCGCACCTTCCTCTTGTTCATCCACTTGACCAACCACTCGGTGGCGTTCTGGGGACGGGTTTGTCTCTCCTGCTCCTAAAGGCAACAGATTCATCACATCTTCATACAGCAACCTTTTATTGAAGACTTCAGATCAAGATTCGAAATCAAGTAAAATCTGTGTCACAAATATAATAATAATAATAATAAGGATGTTCAAGACTCGGAACGTGCTTTGATTCAAAGGTACAAGTCTGTAATATTTCAACATTTCCTTCCTGGAGAAAAGAATCTGACGACTGACCATGATTATGTCTCCGCAGATCATGAGGCTTATGTTCTTGGTGAAGGTGCCGACAAAGTCCACCAGTGCGGGGCGCTGGTTCGGGGGCCCGGTCAAGACGAGACACTGCGGCCTGAGGAATGATGAAGCATCGGAAAAACACGCTTTTAAAATTCTGAACCATTTCTACAAGACAACAGAACTATTTGTTGTCTCACCTGAAGTTCTTGACATGATCCTCCACACCTGACAGAGAGACAGAGTACGACAGAGCCATGTTGTATATCCCCGCCTGGACCGATGACCCCCAGTTCACCTCTGAGGATTTTAAAAGACAAGTGAGAAAAAGACGAAATGTAAAATTCTAACTCAGAACACAGCAAAATCTTAAAGTTAGTTTACGCTCACCAGGCTTGTTGTAGTTGACGTATCCGAACAGGAAGAACATAACACAGCAGGTGATGAGCGCAGCCCACCAGGTAAACAGGAACATCAGAACTGCGGAGATCACAGCCCCAAACAAAGCCGTCCATTTACTGTAGTACTGAAATGATGGCCTCCAACCTGAAGGGGGCGACAGCGAGCAAAAGAGGACGTTCCGGTGTCAGAACATTGAGACACATCATCAGGGATCTTCAACGAGAGGGCCTGGAGGTTTTTGCAAGGTTCAATTAATTGATTGATTGATTAATGGTGAGTCACCGGGGGAGTTGGTGATGGAAGCGTGGAAGCAGCTGAAGTTGATGAGGCAGTAGCAACACAGGAAGAAGTTGGTGATCAAGGCCGCGAGGGCGTTCAGCTCAGCTGCGACGACACAGGAGAGAGAGAAGCACATGATGAATATACGATGTTAAATCAGGGTCGCTCATCATTCATCCACAAGGTGGAGCAGAGCAGACGGGACTCACCGATGAGGACGAAGGCCACGGCGATGACGTAGCAGAGGATGTAGGCCCGGAGTGGCTCATCCTTTTTCCCATAACCCTTTGCAAAGAATCCAATGTATGGGTATAAGTTGTCTCTGCACAGACACTGGCAGGAGAAGAAGAAAAGATCCATTTGTAAAACGTTCATTGGATTTATTCATATTTATTAATATTTCAAGCTAAGACATTTTACATTTCTATAATATGAATCGTGAGGAGGTGGAAAAACTATTTTTAAAAAGATCCATATCTACCTTGTTGTTTTGTATTCGGTTGTTCTCGTTAATAGAAGTGAAATTCATAAAGACGTCAGACAATTTAACTCATTGTTGAACTTGTGGTTTCTCACCTGAAAGATTTTAGGAGCGGAGACGAGGAAGCCGAGCGCGGACGACAACGTGGCGACAAACACGCCGGCAGTGTTGAGGAAGTAGAAACCCGCCACTTGGCCTGGTACCTGAACGATGCAGATCACGTTCATGAACCCGACACAGATTTGAAACATTCACAAAGTAGGACGATCGTGCCAACGCTGTGTTTGAGGTCTGGGATAAAACGGGAAAGTTATAAACAGAAAGAATTTAACGGCACCTTTAAATTGTTGGCCAGACCGTAATCACATGACTGCGACTCGATGCAGTCGGTGAAGTTCCAGCCCAGGTTACATCCCAGACCCACGCAGCTGTCGGTGATGTTTCCAGTCAGAGCGTGAGCGATATTTCCTGAAGCGTCCCGTACGACACACGAACCTGGAGCCACAGAAACATACAAACATCACAGAGTCAGCGACATCCTGCTCACAACACACAGACACACATGTTGAAGCACACGGGTAGAAGATGACTGCAAACACACGTGAGGTTCAAGTGCTTCACTTCATGTTAATATCTCTGGTGTCTGGAACTCATGTTGTCTGGGCTCTTTAAATCGAGAGCCGACAGGAAGGGCCCCGTGTGATGTAATGAAAAAGTCACGTGACTCTTTTCACATTATTTTAATTGTAATCTGCAGTTTTGGACTCTTCGACTTTCATCGTGAGGGGAAGTGATAGAAACAAACACAACAACTGAATGAGTTCGATCTCACCAACAGTTGCAGAAATAGCTAAATAGCTGATTGTAGTCCAGAAGATGCCGACGATGGTGCCTTTAGGAACAGCAGTGGCAGGGTCCTGCAAAAGGAAACAACAGCCCAGTCAACATTCATGTCCTTCTTGTCGGCAGCTGTGGTGGAGGAAGTTTATCTCTGCTCCGTCGTACTTTGAGCTCTCCGCAGATGTTGACTCCAGACAGGACACCAATGGTGGAGGGAAAGAAAAGGGCGAACATCTGGAGGAAGGTGCCGTCAGCTCCTCGCCACGCTGGTTTCAAGTTTGAAATGAAGATGTCGCCTGGATATGAGCAAGAAGAAATTCTAAATTACAAGTATATGTTGAAATTGTTATCATTTCTGATATTTGAGCCATGTTAATAAATTCTATTGAATGAGATTTATTTAACATCGTCTTTTCAAATAAAAAATCTATTTACATTCTGGTTCCAGGCATGATTCCAGAAACCTGAACATATTTCATCAGAATTAATGGTTTTATTTAATTTTTTATCAATCTTGCATTTGTTTTTTATAAAACTGTCAGGAACAGTTGGTTTTATTTTTACAATCCATTTCAAATTTAAGAATTGCTTGGAAGACTTCCTCAGTGGTATAATTCAAAATACCTTGGTATGAATATAAAATATATAAGTTCTGTATTGAAAGCAGTGGAAACTCACCGCGGTAACCAAAGATGCCCTTGGCCTGTTTCTCTGGACCGGGAGGAATAAATGTTCCCACGAAGTAGTTGGAGAAAGAAACGGTATAAACAAATATAAAGAACAGAATGTGGGTCTGCAGAGAAGAGGGAAAACGAGTGAAGTTAAAAAGAAAGAGAGTTACAGGAGAACAGAGACACTGAGATGTAATCGGATGCGCTCACCTTGGACTTCCACTTTATTCCAGCCAACGAAATCAGCAGGAGCAGCGTCACTGTGACGACGCCCACAATGCGGACGTCATTGACTGAATCAACCACGACAGCACCGAACTCCTGCGTCCATCAATCACATTGTTCGTGTGTTAATATTCTCAACGGTAATAAAACCAGCGTGAAAGTGCTCGAAGCCTCTTCAGTACCTGCATTAGATCCCCGACCACCTCCGCAAAGCCAACGGTGCTGAGCGCACACGCTAGAGTGTTAGCGAAGGAAAAGAGCATCCCCACCGGTCCGCCAATTTCAGGACCCAGAGAGCGGGAGATCATGACATAGAGACCGCCTTGTTGAATAAATGACACAGAGCTGAGGTTCGTCATCGGCAGAAAGATTCGAAAATACTTGTTGATTCAGACGTTAAAGAAATGAAACCAACACATTTCATTTGAATTTAAAAGCAAAAGTACAAGAAGAAGATTTCACGTGTTCGCACGTTAAACTGTGACTGACCTGAGGTCACCCTGCCGTTGGTGGCGATGGCGGAGATGGAGAGAGCAGTTAGTGAGGTCACCGTCATGGACATCAGGATAATAAGCCAGGTCAATACTGGGACGAGACAGAGGGAGGTATTCATCATTACTACAATACTATCAATACTACTGTGTTTTTACTGTGTACAGATGTGTTCCTGATTGACTTACTCTGGATGCTTGTGGAACGTGAGGATTTGGTTCTGATTGAATTAATTTAGATGATTCTGATAATTACACACTCGGGTTATCCTGGGACACAACTTGTAAACTATATGGTGAAACACAACCACATGGAAAGTACCACCCTGCAATTTCTGGAGGTACTTTAACAACGAGTGCAGTTCCAGAGTGGACACAAGTACAAAGTACTTTTAAAAACTCATTTGAAGTTTGCAGAAGAATGCTGTTAGCAGAGATTGTCTGAGATGTTGTCTGGAGCTAAACACTCGGCACATCTATCCAGAGATCCACTGGATAGAGGCCGGTCGTTGACAGACAATAGCAGATTGGCTCCGAGATCGTCCGAAACCAACCCACGATCTTCGCCCCCCCACGTCTACCGTTGTTGCCATAATAGCAGAACATCTGGTTTGCCGCTGGTACGCTGCGGGTCGTGTTCGAGAGCAGGGACAAGCAGCCGTTTACGCTCAAGTGAGATGAAGTCAGAACAAGAACGAAAGCAGCAACTCACAGATGCCGGCCTGAGACGTGATCCACGACAGGCGGAGCAGCAGGATGACGCCCCACATGTTCAGCATGCAGCGGAACTGAGAGGAGAGAGGGAGTGTTGAATACACCGCACTTCTCACACACACACACACACACACACACACACACACACACACTGTCCCTCACCATGACTCCAGTCATCCAACCAAATCTACCAGGAGCGCTCCCTTGAGGACCGTCTGCATTGTGGGAGACCGGCGCGTCTCCGGCCTCCAGTCCCTGAGGAAACATGATTCAGACACACATGACATTCACCAGATGTTCAGTCACCACACACCCTGAATAACATCCACCGTGCAGAAATGTGTGAGGAAGAGAATAAACAGGTCTATAAGACTTGAAACAGGAAGTTTTTAATAATGTTCGTGAGACGTGTGCCCCCCCCCAGAGGTCAAAGTCTTACATAGATGGAATTGCGGAGGGCCACCAGAGAGGGCCGGCCCCTCATCGGCAGGCGCGGCACTGTGCTGGCGTAATGTTCCAGATGTGGGACCAGGTCCAAGGTGCTGAAGATGGAAGACCTGCGCAGCTCCACCCTCGAGCCCCGACGCCCAGAATCACTGGTGACGAGAAGTCAGAGCAAATGTGTTCGTTAACATATATAT